AATCAGAGGTGCCAACATCTAATGCACATACTCTAAAGCCTGGTTTCCATTAAATCGTAATCATCGCAATAGTCGCGGAACGCAGACATCGCTATCGCAAAAATCGCAATAAGTCTATCTTTGCGACTTTGTCGTAAGAGTCTTAGTGATCGGTGTGACTCAAGTTTCCGATAAACCGCAGTTTTTATTAAAATTTCCGCGCTTTTAAAATCATTGCGACGCTTGCGATGCGGTTCTTGCGATAATTACGATTTAATGGAAACCAGGCTTAAGAGTTGGTCGGTTGTCTATTAGTTAAAACACTAATTCAATTGTTTTTGTTCCTAAAGTTAATTTTTTGCAAGAAATTATCTGTAAAGCTTGTTTACATGTTGCCTTCTTTGGCATTATTGCACAGAATGTCATGAAATCACACATACATGTAGTTAAAAGTTGTCAATGGATACAAAGTGGTGTTGAAATCCACCATTTCATATTCAAAACAAAATTGGTCTCTTTCACAGCCACCATTTGTTCAGAAGCAACTAATAGTCTCCTACCATCATAAATAAGGGGAAAGGTTGTTTGCTATAAATACTGGCAGCTTTTTTTAACTGGTTGCAAACCTATTTTAATATTTTCATGGGGGCGAATGCCTCTGATATGCACGCTGGGAACATGGCAACAGTATGCAACGGTTACACCAAAATCAGAGGTGAAGCCAAGAAATCTGCCTTCTATATGATCGCTATTCTGTGATACTGGCCCCTGGTCGACACCATGCATAGCTGTGACTAAAGTATTAAATTAGTCATCTCAAGATTTGCATGTGCATAATTGATTGATTTTTTAAATATTCAAAAAATTCAAGCATATTGAAGAATTAACTTATTGGGGGGGGGGGGGTTGAACACTTTACAAGAGGGGTTAGAGAGATGTTATGGGGGTTAACCCTCATAAATCCGCCCATGATGCGCCCTACTTAATTATTTTACTCTGTCTAATGCCAGATTATTTTACTTTGTCTAAGGCGTAAAAAAACACCTGTGGTTCCGGTTCCCGACTGACCCTATTTTTTTCTGCCGACCCTATTTTTTTCAACGCGATTGACCGTGCGACCCTATTTTCTCCAGGTGGTTGCGGGCTGCTCATACAGCGTGCCATAATGGCGTCTGTTGTCACACTAATTATTGAACCAAATTGCCTAAATTAGTCCATAGGAAATACGCATCTCTAGTTAATATTGATGTCGAGACTCTACTGCAAATCGCCCAGCAAAAAACCGCCAAAACCATGAAAAAAATATTCCAAAAAAATTTTATTTCCGACCTACCGACCCTAATTTTTTCACGATATGAAACCGGAACCACAGGTATTTTTTTTACGCCTAATGCCAGATTATTTTAGATTATTTTACTCTGTCTAACGCCAGATTATTTTACTCCGTCCAACACCGGATGATTTTACTTGTTAATGGGAGAGTGCTGGCTCTTAATGGGTTAACTGGCCTATCTGCCAATGTGTCTAGTTAGCCCATTGAGTCACATTCCGCCCTGATGCACTTTACTTTATTATTCTACTCTGTCTAACACCAGACCATTCTCCTCTGTCTAATGCCAGACGATTTTACTCGTCAAGGAGAGAGTGCTGGCTCTTAATGGGTTAACTGGCTTATCTGCCCATGTGTCTAGGTAGGTCATTGAGTTGCATTACGCCCTGATGTGCCCTACTTATTTTATTCTGTCTAACGCCAGACAATTTTACTTGTCAAGGGGAGAGCACTGGTGCTTAATTGCAGACGTTACATTCGAGACAAAGTAATAACAGTATTTTTCAATATAGCTTGAATGCAAAAAACTGTTTTGATAATAATGCTATTTATAGCTACTGTGCATAGTAAAATAAAACTGTCACTGGTACAATCCTAAGTGTTTTCAAAAGGAAATACATTGCAGATGTTACGAAAATAAAGCATGTGTATTTTTGCAACACACACATATCGATATCTAAAAAAATATTGATATTTTGATTTTTTTAGTTTTCGTATTATTTAATTAAAAAAAATTATTTTTGATATTATATTTGCGTAATAGTGAATACTTGTCACAATCTCAACGAGTGATATTTATATGGCAGCTTACTCACTTATATATGATAGATAATCACAAATTTGATAGCAAACACACACACGATACTGACAGTAAATACGCACCTCAAAAACAATGATTTACAGTTGACAAAAGTTAAATATAGAATTAAAGTTATTCCGATTAA